AATTTTTTCCTGAATGTTTTCCAAAAAATATATTCGAATCTATAAAGGCAGTCGAAATTAATGACAACAAGGCATACTCCTTAAGTAGTCACTTTTTATAGCACAAGCTATGTCTTGGCGGTTAGAAAGAATCTTATTAGAAAGCCGGCATCCTGGAGTGTCTAAAATATGTTAAGATTAGACTGTATGGCCATCTCTAGTACAACCATCCGCAATTAATCTGTTCCAATCGAAAACTTATTTCAGAATTCCGGCAGCTATTGCATGAGATAGTAAACCTACTGTAGTTAGACAAGTCTACGAAGTCGGCAACAAATACGAACGTCACATCTGACCTGGCAACTTTCTACCGAAATAGATGATAGTTTCACTAAAATTATGGAAAAGTGTGCAGTATAAATGTGTGAATAGGCATCCAGCGTTGCTGTTAGCTCAAGGCACTAAAATCCTCAAAAACCTGTTTGCACTTAACAGGCTCAACTGTAATTTTCTATCTTGCCCTAGAAAACAAGCCCGTATCTAGTGAGAGTATCGAAGACAGACGATCATTTATAAGAAAAAAGTCAGTCAGTCAGTCAGTCAGCTATACCCAGACTCACGTTTGGAATACTCGAGATCCGAAAGCGGTTTATTTGATCATCAAGCATTGAGTATTCACGCGCTCTGCAACTGAGACGGGGAGGGGGGCACGACTAATACGCCATAAAATGGTCACTCCTGTCTCCGGCGTCTTCGTCGATGTGTTTTAGTGCGTTCGTACTGGTTGCCATGTGACTGTGTACCCGGGGCCAGAGCTTGCCTCTCTAAACGCAACGCGACAAACATTTTTTAGTCTGGTTGATGAAGGTCCTTCCCGTGCCTGTTTTGTCTCATTACTGAGTATTTGCCGAGCTATAGTAAAACATTTTATAGGAGCGTGTCCGGAACTCTACTGAGCTTGTGTGAATGGACGTAATTAGTGCGCAATTACAAGCTTCGTTTAAAAAGTCACTCGCGTACTAGTTTTTTTTTATCCCTGTTTGACGCGCACGCTACTGTTAACGCCATCAGGCTTGCATTTACTGTAAAAAGTGAATTTGTATCGTCTGCTGACTACCGCCTTGTTTTCTGGCCGTACAGCTACGCCCCAGCACAACGATCCCTACGTGAAACAGGCTTTGTGATTGCGAGATGTACGGTAGGGTAGGCGATTTACCTGTTTACCGGAGATAAGAGATTAAATACCGGCCCTCCGAAAACTGTCCGCTCTCCCCCTCCCGCCTGTTTGTGTAAGTTTTGATTTCCGTTTTAGGACAGAATGAATAATTCACCCTCTCCTAAAGNCTTGAAAACTGGGGGGGAGGGAAGCGTGGGGGGTGACATAGCGGTTACCTGGCAGCTAAGTAACCCACCCCTCTAGGAGA